GGATCTGTGGATCAAACGCCAAGAAATTCGGCAAAGGGTCAGTAAAAACACCAGGGATCTGTGGATCAAACGCCAAGAAATTCGGCAAAGGGTCAGTAAAAACATCACGGATCTGTGGATCAAATGCCAAGAAATTCGGCAAAGGGTCAGTAAAATCACCAGGGATCTGTGGCTCAAACGCCCCTGGGAAACTGAAACTTACTGCGGGGAGAAATGGGACTTTGAAGCTATGGGCATTTGGTTTGTGGATAAAGGGCTGTCGGAGAAATTTTTCAGATATATGGGGCTTCAGAATTCTGGCCCGTCGAAACAATGGCATGGCACCACCTAACATAGGTTTCTGCATGATGACGTTGCTACATATGAATCCCCCAGCGCGCCTTTTGTGCCTATTCGTGACTGAGCCAAACTTTTTTGAATATTGTGCATTAGCGATCCTTGAAACTAAGCAGTGTTCTGCTGTGGACTTCACGTTAACTCTGATCCAAAAGTAGAACAATCACACAAACTAACAGATTGAGGCAGCGGTAGACCAACAACTCCCGTGTTCTGCGAGGTAAAATTAACGCTTGTGTCAAAAGAGTCTGGTTGCTTTAAAGACAGCAATATAATGGCTTCAGGTTCAGGAGTGCTGAAAATATGACACTGACCGTGGAGAAGTACCTCAGACAACCCCACTTCAAAAAATTTCAACCTAACCCTTTGATTAATTATCATTATTACCAGCGATTGCTGCTCCCACATACGTCACTGCTTTTTGCTAACAGTTGAGTGGGCATTTTGTTTTGAGAAACTCAAGAGAACACAGATGGACGCGCCCTTCAATGTGAGAAAAAAATATATGTATTTAATGTCTTTAAATGTAATCTTTCTCCTCCAACAGGCGAGCTGTCCTTGGAGGAATTTGTGGAAGGCGCTCGCAGCGATGAAGATTTCATGGAGGTGATGATGAAGAGTCTGGACCTCTCCCACATCGTGGCGATGATCCACAACAGGAGGCACAGCGTTTAGGATCTGCCCGTCCACACTACCTCATCCTCATTCATGATTGAACCCGAGAGCCTCGGTACACGGCCTCCGGCAAAAACGTCATTTATAGACTGAGATTTCTATTAAGATTGAATCCAGCTGAATATAAATGCCAGTGCACTGCAAACACTGTCATGTCTTGTTTTTAATCTCTCAAAGAGCGACACATATGCACTTTAAATGCATCTGGATGACTCAGTCAACCTTTGCAAACTGGTCATTGTCCTTGTTTATCGATGCACAGCTCTCCCAAGGCCACCTTGGCACAAAGGATGATCTCTCAGACGGTCCACAGATACCCTGCAGGATAAAAGAGAGAGATAGTGGAGCAGAGTGGCAATTATATGCACTCAATGCTCCCCAAATGTGTTTTTTCTCTGGGTCTGAGCTGCTCTGCATCCAAATACTTCAATCTGTTTTTACCCATTCTTGCCTGTGGGGTTTACAGGAGGAAGCTCTGACTCTGCAGTGTGCTCAGCATCCATGATAATTTGATTAAGTCAGAGGCTGTAAAATACAGGAGCAGGTGAAAGTGTCTGAAGACATTTAGCAGTGTGCAGATTCTCAAATGTTTACCTTTTGTAAATAATGTTCATAACCTTTTTTTAAATGTTTAAAATAAGTTGAAGCAGAAAGCAAAACACTGGCTGGTGGTGTGTGGGTGTTTCATTGGCTGAATATGCAGAATAAATACAGATATAGATTATGTTTGCTGGCTACCTAGACTGGTGCCTTCTGTTAGAGCACACCCAAATGTGTGTGTTTGTTCAGCTTTTGCTTATTTGTAAAATAAAAACTAATAATTTAAGTGTGCTGTGTGATGTCTCCATTTAATGTACTGGATATCAATGTGCTGCAGGCTTCAGTCCAGCCTGCTGGTCGCCATAAAAACTGCAAATAAAATCTCAGGAAGTGTTTAGACATACATTTCAATTCTGCGTCTGACAGCCCAAAAATTGGATCAATTGGATTGAATTTTAAAATTTCAATTATCTCTGAAGCACAACCCAGAGATCTGTTGGAAACATTTTACGTTGGCCCTGTCTACATGTATACAGATAGTTTTGGGAATGGCTATTTTCCTCTGCGATTTGGCTTCTTGTCAAAATGCAACCAAGAGTTTTAGGGTCACTAAAGCATCAAAATGCTAAACATGTTTTCCAACATCACTTGATGAGGGGACAGCCAATTGTTCCAATGCCCCAAAGATATGAAGCCATGTTGGTCCAAAAAATGTCCCAGTGGACCAGAACTTATTTCTCAGACAGTCTGTTATCCCAGAAACACACTTATATTGCTCCTTAGTCCCGTTCCACCAGAAAATACGCATTCCCTGCAATTAGACAACCAGATTGCCGTAAAAAAATTTGTATTGTAAGTTTTTGCAAACCATGGATACGTTACATTCGTACATTATCTTGTAGCAGATATGTTGAAACTTTAAATTTCTCAATGAATGTATGTGGTTAAGTACAGCACAGGAATCTCTTGCTTCTGGTTAAGAAAAGATCATGTTTTGGTTAAAACGTCCATGTTTGGTGGCACGAAATCTGCTGGAAAACCAGGGATGGGTCAGTGAAAGCACTTGGACACTCAAACGTCAAAAAAAGCTGCAAAGGGTCAGCAAAATCAACAGGGATCTGTGGCTCAAACGCCAAGAAATTCGGTTTGCATGTTCTCCCTGTGTCAGTGTGGGTTTTCTCTGGGTACTCCGGCTTCCTCCCACAGTCCAAAGACATGCAGGTTAATTGGTGACTCTAAATTGCCTGTAGGTGTGAATGGTTGTCTGTCTCTATGTGTCAGCCCTATGATAGTCTGGGGACCTGTCCAGGGTGTACTGTGCCTCTTGCCCAGTGACCGTTGTGATAGGCTCCAGCCCCCCACAACCCCCAACAGGATGAACAGTTACTGAAAATGAATGAATTGATTAGCGTCTTGGCAGAGCTCTGGCACTTTGTGCACTGTCCGCGGCTGTACTAGCAACCAGACTATGGTTAATATTTTACTTTAACAAGTGTGTTGAACATGCAGCCAGAACAAAAGGGGTTTGTTCCTGTATCCAACAGTACAACAGTTGACATGAGAAATAATGAAACCAAAAGCCTCCCAAGACATAGCTGAGTGGAGAAGTATTAAATCAGCATTTATGGAAGAGAATGACACCTAGACAGGTCTGTCACTCAACATCAGTGCAGTATCTCTGTCTTTCCCTGTCTGACTGCATTTTGATTTCATTTCTATATTAAAAAACTGCTTGTTTAGAAATAAAAAACGAGTGAGCGTCTGAATTGTACAATATCATAAACCATCTTTTAGAAAGACTAGATGTTTACCATGAGCTAGGAAGGGCTTTGTTAAATATAACAATACAAACAACTGGCAGACGTATACAACCAGTTGCAGGGAGTCACACACTGACAGTGGTTTGTTTTGACAGTTAGGAACCACTAATGTATTTTAGATGAAAGGTTACAGTTAAAGGAGGACCTGTAACACAATGAACCTTTATAAAAGCTTGTTAATGTTCTCCATTACAGAATCTAGTATCCTATGAGGTCAGTGTACAGCCTCATACAACCACATAAACAAAAGTGACACACCACGGAAACAAAATCCTCCCTTTGAGCAAGGACGATGATTCACCTGCATGATGCCAGGTTGCTCTGTGTCAGGCAAACATGCTCAACTTGCATCGTTTTCATCTTGTTTTACCCCATTATTTTAAACAGGATGACCTATATTACAGACAGGCTGGGTGCTATAGTAAAAAAATAAAAGAAATTTCCCGACTACAGTGAGACTCTTTGGATTTAGATAACTTATAAGAGGTTTTGAACAAAACAAATGTAAAGCAAAATTGCCAATATGGCATTTATTTTATACAAATGCAAATATTCAACATGGACAGTTGTTTTTTTTTCACATTCTGAGAGACTTTACAAGACATACATAATCTCATTCATCAACCACAAGGGGGCAGCAACATAATTGGATGAATTTTCCTCCACAAAATTTCCTACAATGGTCTGAGCTCCTCATTCTGCTTATCTCTAAATGTATAAATCCCCCTTTTGTCTTACAGTCACTGTGTGTCATCTCTCCTTTGTTCTCAGCAGCCTCACAGGAAGTCATAAAGGTACTTGACAATCTCAAAATTCACCGTCCTGGAAGATAAATCACACAAAACACACTATTACTAACAAAAAAAGGTCAAGTCACTTGAATAATTGGGCTTTAGCCTCAGTCATATTCACACACACACACACACACCTGGAGATGGCACAGATGAAGTCCATAGAAACGGCACATTTGTACTTGGGGGCGTCGAGCTGGTCGTCGTGGCTGACCTGAGTCAACAGCTGCAGGGTCACCAGAGACGAGATCTAAATGGAGAACAGAGGGGAAACATGAAATGACTCTCTGTTCCACTTCTTTAAACACAGCTTTTCCTCACTTTGATGTGTGGCACTAAGCGATAGAGAGAGCCAGTTGCACAGATATGGGTCGGGGCTAATTTCCTAAAACCATTTCATGCTCAGGGCCATAAATAGATCAGCATTTGGCCACGGATCCCGCAACTCATGACCATATGGGTAGAAAACTGTCATCAGAGGCACTGTGGTCATTAGGCTTGGTTTAACACAAAACAATGTGCCATTAGCACCTAGTAATGGAAAAAATGTCATTTAAAACCCTTATTATCATAGTGTACATTCTCTTTCATTTGCTTATCTGGAAAATGGGGAAAAAGCATGTATTAAATATTTTTTTATCTTCGGTAGAAGCCACTTTACAGACCCATTACACTTCCTGCAGCTATGTTTGGGAGCCACAATCACTGGAAAGATTACAAGCGCCACAGGACTAAATGAAGGACAAAATTAAAGCACTTCAGAGCTCAGTTTAACTCTAACAGAACCGGTCATGTTGAAAAAGCAGTAAGAGGCATGTATACAGACAATTATTGAGTTTGAGCCATCCAAACTACTGAAGTTTTGGATGGATAATTTAAGTGTTGTGCTGACATCGTTCATCTTTATTTTATTAGTCTAGTAATCTCAGACTATCCACAAAAAAGCACAGTTCAGATCTTTTGAAGAGAGGTTATGTCAGGTGCATATGCATGGTCAGTGTATTACCTACAGTAGATGATGGGCGGTAGAGCTGGGTGATAAAACTATTTAGAATCAGGATCACAATAAAATGTATGTTGATGATGATGATAAACTATAGTCATTTTTACTTGATATGGACAGACCCAGATAAATCCAAACAGCTTGTCAAGCAGCAGAAGTTAACACACCGCTGTCAGTCAGTCTGCAGTGTTAAGTGATGCGCGTCATTGTACACGCCCATTTTTGGGTGAAGAGGAATTGAAAGTAGCGTGGACATAATGAAAAAAGGGGCAAATGAATGGAAGTGAGGAGCAAAGCATCAGTGAAGCTGAAGAAGAGCTTCCATTATCCTCAAAAACAGACGGAATTGTGGCTAAAAAAGGTTACACAATGTCAGTAATTTGAAAGTGGTTTGGCTACTTGAAAGGTGACGACGCACGGACAAAGACGGTCTGCAAAATATGGCGTCAGTTGGTGCCGACCAGGATGAGAAATACTACAAACATCCCAGCGACTACACTGAGAGCATGACAATCTGGGTCAAAACTGCAGCAAGTCCACCAACAAGTGCTGCTCAACAGCCAAGCACTTCTGCTGCTGTGGGCTCGATCCGTTGTGACTGATAAGACCCAATCAGTAAGCATCGTTTCCAAAGTCTCTGTTTCCACCAATCCAGACTAAAACACAACCGTGGAGTTTACAAACTAAAAAAGGGTCAGCAGTGTTGTCAAAGGTCTCCATTTTAGGGATTCCAAAATGCCGAAGTAGTGTGGACGCTAAGTGTTAACACAGCAATATTTATGTGTTTTCAAACAAAAATGTATACGTGTGGTTGTAGCGTAAATATGATTGGACGCTGACCTGGGAGAAGATGCTGGCAGTGGGGGCGACTCTGCTGTCCACCACGCTGTAGAAAATGGCGAGCAGGCGGTCCAGAGGAAACGGCTTTGGTCCCAGAAGGTGGTTACTTGTCTAGCAAAAGAGACAGAATATATTGATACTAAAATAAGAGGTTATATCTAAAACCTGTGAGTCAAAGCCTGTGTTGATGTTAAGATAATCACCTTTTCATTTTTCTTCAAGAAGTTTGTTTTCCTTATTTTACCATGGTGCTGTGGGGAGGAAACAAA